GTAAAATAGGGATAAAATCTTTCCCATCTACTTCACAGGACTGTCTGGAACAAACATGGTGAATGCAATTTTACTCACGTAAGGGATCTGGAAAGAAAGACAGCAGTGTGAACTCATAGGGCTGATTTTCACAGCTCATTGTTAACATTTTTGTTTAATGGCCCTAATTGGACTGTTTGTGTTCCACCCCCTTTTACATTTCGATGTCACTCTTCTGACCCTAAGCTCTTCCAGTCTTTGAGGGGAAGAGCCCTCTGAAACTATTTCTCTGTTATCTCCATATGTAGGGGAACCACTCCTTCTCCCTCCCTAACTGGTAGTTTAAACATTTTTATTAGAAAGGTAAAACCAAGTATCCTTTGTTCTTCCTTCTCCCTTACTCCCACCTTGTGATTTATTCTCCAAATGTATTCCCAGGAACCTTGAGAGTTAATATTGTTACATCTCTAACAAAATTCTTTTGTGTTGCTCCTAGGATGATAACACTAGGGCAAGCATCTTAAGGGCTGCTATCCACAAAGGAACACTTTCTGTTGAAGAAGATAAACATTGTAACTCATGAGCCCACACTGCCCAAAAACCTCCTGGGACCTGGGTATATAAAACCCCCCACTCCCTTTACCTCCTGCATCTCCTTACTTCCTTCTCTCCTTGTGTAATCATGGTACCCCTGATCACTGGGAAACCATTGTGTTTTTTTGGGGGGGCTTATAAACCCTGCTGACTCCCTTGAAGGCCATCTCATATGATAAGACTTCTTTGTGTAAAGACATTTTTGTGGTTCAGAGTTTGGCTTTCCCTGCAGTAGGAGAAAAAACTTTTTTTTTGGTCTTATGCACTTATGGCAAATAGTTAGCATCTATGTAGTTTAATATTCAAGTACAAGTGAATAAAATATCTAGAGTCCAGAAGGGATTCCTGGTTGAAGGATTTAAAATATTTGGTGTATGCACAGGGGATGGGCAGAGAGGGGCAGAGAAGAGGAAGCAGGATAATATGGTGGTATGATAGAGAGCTAAGGCTCTTTCTCACACACTCTACATTTTAGAATTATCCACAGAGAACAGGGAGCCAGTTTCTGATGCTGGGAATGCGAATATATAACAGGGCATCAGGCTTTTGGGAGATTGATTAAGAAAGGCCACCTGAGGAGAAATGATCTGCTTAGCACATTTGCTTGTTGAAGGGTCAGATTGATTATTTAAATCTCAGCCAAACCACTCTGGTGGTGGGTGCCCTGATTTCCTTTGATTGCTGGTGGCCAGGTTGAAGGTGATTCCTCAGGCTCTCTACCCTTCCAAGCTTTTGCTCTTCTGGGGAGTAGTAGGGGGGAACTTGGAACTTTTGCATTAGAGCTGCAAGGGTGAGATGGCTTTTTGCTTGTTGTTTTCATATGTAAAAGAAAACTTAAAACTTATATCTGCTGAAATCCAAGAGTTATATCGGGGGACAAAGAGAAGAGAGTACAGTGATCTCACTATCCATTCTGATCCCCAGACTTTAAACTTCTGAACCTTTACAATGGCCTTTATTTACGGGCCATGAAAATAGAGGCTATCTGCTCAGGTGTGGTCCTGCACACTGGTTTTAGCAACTCAGGAGATTTGAGTTCAGAGCTAGTCCCCCTGGGAAGATGAGTCTCCCACAGGGCTTTTCGAGGTTTGGGGAATAAGGAGGCAGAACTTCCTTTTCCCATACATTTGAGCTGGTTATATCTGTTCCAAGAAGAAAGCCAGGCTTCTGTGAGTGCTGACATTTTCTGTGTCCAGGTGGACTCTTGGCCCATGCATTTATTCATTCTAGGATTTGAACTTACTCTATTTTTTAAAAGATTTATTTTTATTTATTTATGCATACAAGAACTGGGGTGTAGGCCAGAGAGGTGCAGGGAGTATGTGAGAGGATTCACCAGAGACAGAGTGGGGAGCAGAACAGGAGGATCTACTGAAATATACTGCTAAGGGGAACAGCAGGCAGGACTGGGGAGGTCTGCTGTGCCATATGTGGGTTAGTTCTCTGGCTAAATCAGGGCATAGTGGCTATAGCGTTGAGACTTAACCCCTACACCACCAGGGAGGCCCAGAACTTATTCTATTTTTAAGCACCTTACTCTTATAGTGATTTATTAGTATCTTTATAACTTGTGACATGCTTAATTGTAATTTATATGTTCATTCTGTATCACTGATGCAATACTTGTTGAACATTTATTATCTGTCCTATGGTACTAGCCCCTGAGATAAGCTAGAATTATTACTGGGACCAGCTACTTTTAGTCTCCTGGGTGTCTCATGGGAAAAGTGATCTTTTCCCTGTCCTTTCCTATCTGTCCCCAGGGAAATACCCTATGTAGACCTGTAGAGGGCCGGACTGGGCACAGTGCAGGTTTTCTGATCCCATGCAGACCGGGTAAAGGAGGAGCCAGAGTCCTCAGTAGTTTTGCAGGTTTTTTTATTTGCGGTTCACCAGGCATATGGCAGGCAGGGCTCTATCTGGGCTCTAGCGTTCGTCCTGCTGCTTCTCGGCTTCTCTTTAGGCTTCTGCTTCGGCTTCTACTGCTGCTACTGGTGCTGCTCGCGTCCCCCCGTGGCGCCCCCCTTAAAAAGCACAGTCTTAGCTCAGCTGAATCCCATCTACCTATGCCCATACCCTATTCCAGGTGCCCGCCATCAGGCATGCATTCAGGACAAGGGGTCCATCATCTATCCTGATGGCGGAAGGGCAGAAAAGCCTGATATTTTCTTTACCCTACAAGACCTTACTTACCAACTGGAAGAACACACCCAAGTACTGCCCCAGGGCTTGTTCTTTTGTTGTAGAGCAACCCAGATACAAACCAGGGTGCCTGACTGTGGGTCCTCACCCGCACGCTTAAAAGGACTCATCAATGCTCTACTGCAGGCACACGCGGAAGGTTAATAAAAGGTTTATTTACAAGGGAAGGGGAAATGAGGAAATGTGCAGCTCAGGGAGAAAAGTGGGAGACAAAGTTTTAAATGAGTCCTACCCAATCCGCTGATCAGGAATCCCAAATGGCACTCTGAGAGCTGGCTGCAAGCCAGGAGCCGTGAAGCCAGGAGGCGAGCGATAGCAAGCCAGCCCAAGGCCCACGTGTTTTTTTTATATCCAACCTGGCTGCTGCCCAACTCCACCCTCAGGTCCCAGCCACCCTCCCTTTGGTGGTGATGGGATTTGTCTTTCCCAATGTCTTGATGGCTTTAGTCTGGAGTGGGAGTGGGGTCCACAAAGCCTGTATGGGATTAGCTCAGGACATCATTTCCCCCTAACACTTTCACCCAGGTTAGGGTAGGCAAGGTTTTGCTGAGTGACTATGAAGTCAATTTCCCACTTGCTTGAAGTAAACATTCACAAAGGTAAATTACTGCTGGGTGCACATGAAAAAGGAAAGGAACTCCAGAGTTAAGTTGGTTGTTTGCTCCTGGGGAATACATGCTGTTTTAGGGAGGGCATTTGATTGGATTATCCTTTTCTTCCTTCCTGGACAATCAGGAATTACTGTGCCTGGAAAGTTTAGGAATTAGGAAATGCCCAACACCTGAAATCAGTGGGTGCTTCCTTTGGGCTCTGAGTATCCCATTTACTGGTCAAGTTAAGCAGCTCTAGCCAAGGGTCATGTCTAACAGGCATGAGGGTGAGAGTACAGGACTTGAGCACCCAAGTCTGGGCTGAATTCCTAGTTCTACCACTTTTGACTGTATAGTGTAGGGTAAGGTAAAAAGTATCAGGCTTTTCTGCCCTCCCATCATTAGGATAGAAGACGGAACCCTGCGGTCCTGAATGCATGCCTGATGGCGGGCACCTGGAGTAGGGTGTGGGCATGTGTAGGTGGGTACACCTGGGCTGAGAGACTGGTTTATAAGGGTGGCGCAGCACAGTGCGGTGTGGTGTCGAGGATGGAGGAGTGCAGTGGAGTGTACTGAGAAGTACAGCGACAACAAACAATGGCGAAGAGCATGTGGCTGCTAGAACCATTAATAAACCTACCTGGAATGGGTTGGTTGCATTGAAATGGCTTTGAATAATTCCTGTTACCTCTTTGAGCCTCAGCTTCCCAGTCTATAAAAAGGAACAGTTTCGATCTTAGTAAGTTATGAGAAGCAAAATATAATGTATGTCTAGCACCTGGCATGGTAAAGCTGAGCCGCAGGTGACTTTTTTTTTTTTTAAAGATTTGTTTATTTATTTACACAAGCACTGGGTACAGTCAGAAGCGCGGGAGGGTGAGAGAATTCACCAGAGCCAGAGCGGGGAGCAGAGCAGGCAGAAGGACCGAAGTACACTGCTGAGGGGAGCAGCGGGCGGCAGGAGAGGTCTGCGCGCCATGTGGGACCCTCGGTGGCCGGGGAGCAGCCGGGGATCCAACCAGCTCTGCAGAGGCTGCAGGCAGCTTCGCAGCCCAGCGTCACCGGGGAGGCCCCCACAGGTGACTTTTATTTAAAAAATAACGGTTCCTTGTCAAAAGGTCATACAACATGCAAGTATATCATGTCGATGACTTGCAGGTGGCCTGTTCCTCGTGCACTTTCAGAGGACTATTTATTGTTTGAGACGCTGGGCTTTATCACAAACTGAGTCACAAAAGCTTAACTTATTTTCACTGCCCCTAACCCTTGGGCGTCTTTCTGAGGATTCTTCCGCTAGAAAGGCATTAGGATGGGGGAAATCATAAACTTCTAACCAAAGCAAGGGCAGACGGCATTTGTTTTATACGTGTCTCATCACGGCGGAGTGATACAGGCGAAAAAAGTTCCAGAAAGTTTGCGAAGGGATTCGCTGGGGGCGGGGCTTAGCAGAGACGGGAGACGCGGGGCCACCGGCTCGTGCCGCTCGGGAGTGAGGCGGGCTCCCGCCATTCTGGCAGGCGGCAATTGGGCGAGGCAGTGAGTGACGTAATAGCCGCGCGCACACAGGGTCTGACGGTCGCCGCCGCGTCTGCGCACGGGGAGTTGGTTGCTTCTGCGGCCGCCTGGAATTGTGGGGCTTGTGTCTGCCCCTCGGCTGTCTGGCGGGAAGCCGAAGGTAGGGGCGGCAAGTCTTGGAGCTTGGCGGGGCGGGGGCGCTCAGGCCGCTGCCCGGGCCTTCTCCCGCTAGCGGCCCGGAGCCTTCACCGTACCGTTTCGGGGCTCCCCCTTCCCTTATGTCTACAGAAGGCGACATCCAAGTGGGTCCTGGGCTTCACAGCCCTGGCGTCTCAGCCCAAGGGAACTTCCTTGCCTTGCCCACTCAAAATGTTGCCAGTAATTCATCTTAAATGCCAGGAGATGAGACAGTGTGAGTCTGAGACTGACTTTCAGCTCGTCATCTGTTACAGTTTCCTTCCCTGTTTCCTTCTCCCGGTCTCAGTTTGAACATTTGCCCAACCACTCCAGTGTTCACATTTCTGGTTTTTGACTGAGACCTGTGTCTCTTCACCATATGGAATTGTGCCCGAACGCCGTCGTATTTCCTTTCGTATGTTGTGTTTTCTTTTGTCCTGGTAGATGGAAGACTTGCCTTTCAAGTGGCCGTTACAGAGTTTGGTGTGACTCAGGTTACCTAAAATTACAGATTGTGCATATCCCCGAGCTTGGCCCACAGAGTCCTTAGGTGATTTTGATTCAGGTGGTCGCGAGTCCTCTGTTTAGAAGAAAGAAACCGGTTGATTTAGGAACCCTGGAATGGGAGTCCAGGTGGAAAAGTTTAGGAGTCAGGAAAATGCCCAACGCCTGAGAGGCCAGTGGAGGCTTCCTTTGCGCTATAGGCATAAGAGGTCTATTTGAAGCCTTAAAAACAAAAACAACCACTAAATATTTCTAATAAATATTTTCAAATGTTTGGCTTCAATTCAAGCCCAGCTGCCTTTCCCACCTCAATAAGACAAAACTGCAAACTGCTTTGGGGAATTCAGGGGGTTAGAGTAACCCAGACTAGGTAGGCAGCTGGAGAAGGCGTCCTCCCTGTTTGCTGAGAAAAAATTGATGTAATTTTGTAAACACTAACAGTGTTTGTTTTGACAATGTGAAAGATGTTTTGTATTTGTGTCTTATTATCTTTCACCCACTCCAGCTTTATCCATTTCTGATAAAAGTATAGCCAGATTTGGGGACTGGATAGATTTCGATGGGAGCAAGAGGATGAGGATATTAGGATTGATGTTTGTATCATAGGGGTCAGGATTTGGTCTGTGGTTTCTTCTCAGAACCTCCCCCTTTAGATTTTTAAGATGTTGTCACACTAGATTTAAGTTTTTTTTGGGGGGAGGGGGGGCGGGGAGGAGAGGACCTGTTTAGAGAATTTAATCTGCTGATTAACATGTGTGCCATTGTGTTGAAACTGGCTACATAAAAGACTGACCCAATTTTACAAATGGTGGGAATGAGGAATATATTAATAAGGGGTTTGATAGCACAGGAATGAAAAGTTGCCTGTGATTTTGCTTTCTCCCCTTCCTTCCTGTCTTTGAAGGCTGGCTATTCTCAGCAGTCTAACTTTGAGCCTCTGTATGTTTCATTGGGAGGGAAAAAATGCTAACTATGTGAAACTGAAAAGTAAGTGGGTTTCAACATAAAGGTTTGGGAACTTAATCTTTCCTTGTGCGTAGTTCTCATTTGGAGTGATATGTGTAAGTGTGGGTGGTGGGGCTTGAGGGTGACATCTCTTAAGTGATGTGGCCATTACCCAAAGCAGTATTGAAAAATCTACTTCTGAAATTGTAGTGACATTTTTGAACCATGTGAGAGATCAGACTAATTAATATGGGATGCCATATTTTATTTCTTTTATATCCCCCAAATGACATGGTTAAGCAACCTTATCATTTAACTTGTCTTCAGGTGAGTCAACAGTTCTTTTGAAGTAAACCTAATAGATTTTTGGTGTATGGTGAACATGAGTTTTGATTCTAAGTCTATCACTTTTTAGCTGTAAGACCTTGGACTATTTCTTAGGTTTGGTTTTCCACTGCATAAAAATGGGAATAATTCTTTCAACAGTGGTTAAATGCACGAAAGGAGGCCTCCCCGGTGGCGCAGCGGGTTGAGTGCAGCTCTGTGAAGCTGTCTGCTGCCAATGTAGTACGGGTTCAATTCTCGGCCAGCCAGGGAGATTCCCACATGGCGTGGCAGACCTCTCCTGTTGCGCCCGCTGCTCCCCTTAACAGTGTATTTTGGTCCATCTGCCTGTTCTGTTCTCTGCTCTGTCTCTGGTGAATCCTCTCACCCTCCTGCGCCTCTGGCCTGTACCCTAGCTCTTGTATAAAAAATAAGTCTTAAACAAGAAAATAAATACGCGAAAGGTCTTACATATAGAATGCATTTCACCCTCTTAGAATGAAAATTTGATATTAATGAGAATGTTTTTTAAAAATGACAGCCTTAAAGTCAAGTGTCCTTTTTCCCAAATAGGTGGATGTCTTCCAATTCTTTTTTCATTATGTTTGTGGATTCATGCTCTGACCTTCTCATCCTGCTTCCTGTCCTTTTCTTCATTCATTTTCTACCCTTTCCTAAGTGAAGCTGTGCTGCAGAGGCTGTCTGACAGTCTCTTGGAGTAAGCCTCTTTTCAGAAGAGTTTATCTGAACATTTTTACAATGCCAGTCCCTTGGTTGTGTATTTCTGGGGATTTTTCTCAGGGGCCTCAGCTGGTGCTTAGATCACGCTCTGTAGCACAGGCATCTCTAACTCCTGGATTTGGTGTCAATTTGGAGACCTGTCCTTGTGGAGCTAATCTTTTCTCTTTCTGAGTGAGGAGGAATACTTTATCCTTCTCTGAGTCAGCCTTAAGCTGCACGCATTAGTCTTCCATAGCATAGAGCTTCTCATTTTAATTATATGTGGTCTAAAGAGGGAATATCCTGCCCCTTTCTTCATTTATGTACATCAAGGGTTTTGCTGCTGATAGGGGAGGAGGAAAATAGACTGTTGTCATTCAGGTAGGGCTTTGGGTAACCTGATTCCTACCTCCAACAATAATCGAGTTTGTCTTTGGGACAAAAACCTTGTAAAAGATTCATGCTGCTTAGGAGAGATGTGATGAACCCCTTAGAATTTTTCTGACTTGTGTAGTTTACACATCACATCCTCACTTGTGCAGTTTTCTTTCTTGGAAGATAGTAAGACTCCAGCAGTAACAACTGTTTAGCCCAGACTTGTAGTTCCTTCTGGTTCCACCAGGCATCTCTTAGACAAGGGTGTGACTGTGCTGGCTACGTCTGCCCTCATTCTCTTAATACTGCCCTTGGTTTTGGTGTTTGAGGTGTTGAGAGGTGATTTAGTCAGTTAAGAGTCATTTTAACAATACCATAGACTGGTGGCTCAAATGCCAAACATTTCTCACAGTACTAGAGCCTAGAAGTGTGAGGTCAGTGTGCCAGTCTTGATGAGGGCCCTCCTTCTGACTTACAGATCACTGCTTCTCTCTGTGTCCTCAGCATGGTGGGAGAGTACCCTGATCTTTTCATCCCTTTATAAGGACAGTCATCTCATCATGGGGACTCCACCCACATGAACTAATCTAACGCTATCTCCCAAAGACCCACCTCTAAGTTTGGTCATATTGGGAATTAGTGCTCAAGCATAAGTACTAAGGGCAAGGGTGGGGGTGGGATGTGCGCACACAAACCTTCAGTTCTTAACAAGAAGGAAGTGACGTAGTCAATGCATGAATAACTGCTTGGTGAAGGTTATGGGGCATAGAACTCCGAGCCTAGGGCTGAGCCAGTGGCAAGTTCCAGTCTTGTCTCAGCAGTGCTGCTGAACTGCTATGAATCCTTTATGATGACCACTGTTTTCCTGGTGTCACCTCATTTGTAGGCTGAGAGTGCCTTTGTTGATTTTGCCTGTGAGATGGTGAACAACAGTCCTGATTTGCCCAGGACTCAGGGATTTCCCAGACATGGGACATTCAGTACCCAGATGAGGGAACTCCACTGCTTGCTGGGAGAAGTTGGTCAGCCTACCTAGATTATTAGGCAAATAATGACTATCCTGTCCTTATGGAGACTGGACTAGCCCATTGGACACCTAATCAAGTATTTCCCAACCTTTGTTCATTATCACTTTTTCAAAAATAGTACAAGCACATTTATGTAGTAATCAAAGAGATGAGCCTAATGAAACCAAGACTCTGACATAGTTGCGTGTAGAATATTCGATAAAGATAATTGAGTACACTAATGAGCAGAAAAGGCAGTGTGGAGGTTTGTTCACTGAACTGAGCTCATAAACCCTGGCAGCTAATGCCTGTCTGAAATGATGATGGAGTGTTTGTTCTACTTTTTCATAGACCCAAGTACAGGTGACATTATTCGTTATGCGTTTCACCTTCCCATCTTCTTGTTATTGTGCTTGCTTCCCCATCCCTTTCTTGATGTTGAACCAATCGGCCATTTGTTAAGTTGGAGACAGTTTGAGGATTTTTTTGCCATCAACTGTAGTTTCTTCAAACTCCTCTCCCAGATTACATGAAAACTGTTTTTTTTTTTTTTAGATTTATTTTTATGCATACAAGAACTGGGGTGTAAGCCAGAGGTGTGGGGAGGGGTGAGCGGATTCACCAGCCACAGAGTGGGGAGCAAAATAGAAGGATCTGCTGAAATACACTGCTGAGGGGAGCAGCGGGTGAGACAGGAGAGGTCTGCTGTGCCATATGGGTTAGCTCCCTGGCCAGGGATCAAACTCATGTCACAGTGGCTGGCGATAGCTTGATAGTGCTGAGACTTTAACCCCTGTGCCACCAGTGAGGCCTCAAGAACTGCTGTTTTCAAAGTGCTCTCAGTTCTTACAGTGAGGTTATTGCCATAAGAAATGACACAATGACACAAACTTGTGCCCAGTTTTCGAAGAGTCATTCCCACATCTATTTTGTTCTTGTGTTCGCCAAAGCCACTGCTGCTCATCAAGTGCCATCTTCCTGACAGCTACTGAATGGTGGCCATGGTTTCTTATCACCTTTTGGAGGCATGTTTTTCCTAATTTGAGACATAATTTTCCTAATTCCTCCACCCCTCCCCCCAATGAAGTTTTAATACTACAGACATACCTTGCACCTGTTTTTGTACTGTGACCCTCTGGAGGGCCACAAACTGTCATAATACCTACCTATTTTTCTTCCCCAGGAATAAATTTGCACCATGTAGGGTGAAATTTATTCCCTAAAAGAGAATATATGGTCTTATATCAAGACTTGTTTTTCTATCTAGCACGTCATTATCACAAGCTTTTTCAATGCCTCAAACAATAAACTAGTAAAAACATGAGAACAATCAGGGGGTTGCAATTTTATGGGGAATATAAAAATAAAAAAAAAAATGAACAGGACAAAAAAAAAATAACAAACGGGACTGGAAACAAAACAAAACAAAACATGAGAACATCTCATCCAGTCCTCACATCAGTCTTATAAAATAGTTGGTATTATGTCCACTTTACAGATGAAGAAATTGAGGTTCAGTGAGGTTCACTGATTTGACCAAGGTCAAAATGTTTGGTACAACCAGAGTTTAAATACAGTTCTGAATCTCCAGGTTTTTCTGTTGTACTGTGCTCTCCCCTACCCTATGAGCCTGCAGTTATTCGAGGACCTTTAACCATTGAACTAGGTGCCAGGCGCAGCAGAAGATGTGGGGGGAAAAAAGAGAATGGCCAACATCTTCTGTTGGACCTGACACCTAGTTGAATGCCCAGCTCAGACTTTTTCCTGGGTGGGTATGCCTTAGTGCTCTAGTTAACCTCTCCTGTTTGGGCTTCTTGCAAAGTCTCTTCGTGGAAGATTTGAGCTAGTGGGTCTTTAGGAGGGTCAGAACTGTGAATTTGTCCTTGCTAGTTCCATTTGTCAACTAGCCAAGCTGCTTCTGATCACTGAGCCTGCTGCAAACAATATAACCAAAGGGTTGTAGTCGGCCCAGTCGACTCCTTCACTGTTATGTTTGTGAGCACGAGGATTAGTAAGAATAACATTTCTGTTTTGCTTATTGATATTTCTAGTAATTCACAGCAGAAATTGACCCTTACTGAAATTATTCCACAGTGTATGGTTGAAAGCCTAGTGCAGTTAAGAGAGTTGCTGGAGAAGCAATGGAATGGAGGTGGGGGTGGGAGGGATGTTTTTTACCTGGACTTCTCCAAAGAGGCTAGAATTGAGTTTATTTTCATTTTCTTCCAAGCCTTGTGCTTATCAGGTAGTCAGTTTATCACCTGCTTCGCAGTGTCTCTTTGGCTTTCCTTTTTCATAGCTGAACATAGTGTTCGCTCAGGTGTTCCTGGGAGTTGGAACCTTTGCTTAGTGTCTGATGTTTAACCCATGTCGCATGTTGTAGCTGCAGAGAAGTGGGAAGGGATGTGTTTCTGAGATCTTGTTGCTGGCTGTGTCTTGACTGATGGAGTTCTTGATTGTGCCCTTTAATTGTCATTTATCATCACAGGAAGAGGAACATCACAGCAGTCTGTGACCCTATCCACATCTGGCCACTTCCCTCTGTTGTGAGGGGGAGGAGTTGTAAATACTGGAAGAAGAATCTGAGGATGCTCCCTAAATCCCCAAAGGCCTGGTGAGGAAGACTGATGCCCATGCTGGCTTTTTTTTTTTTTTTTTTTTTTTTTTTGCATTAAGGCCAGGTATATTTTTGAAAGGTCATCCTACAATAAGTAAATTAAGTAGTGGTAGAACATCAAAATAAAATTGATTACTAAAAGGGCACACTGGAAAGTTGGGAAGTAGAAAGAATACTTTTGGTTTCTAATATACTAGAAAGGGGGAAACATTAAAATTACTTTTCAGGAAAAGCGTATTAAAAGTCTTTTTCGGGGGCCTCCCCGGTGGCGCAGCGGTTGAGCGCTGGGTTGCGAAGCTGCCCGCGGCCTCTGCGGCGCCGGTTCGATCCCCGGCTGCTCCCCGGCCACCGAAGGAGGGTCCCACATGGCGGGACAGACCTCTCCTGCCGCCCGCTGCTCCCCTCAGCAGTGTACTTCGGTCCTTCTGCCTGCTCTGCTCCCCGCTCTGGCTCTGGTGAATTCTCTCACCCTCCCGCGCTTCTGACTGTGCCCAGTGCATGTATAAACAAAACAAACAAACAAACAAATAAATAAATAAAACATGCCTCTATTAAAAAAAATAAAAAAATAAAAAAATAAAAAAAAAAAAAAAAAAAAAAGTCTTTTTCCAGTAAAGGTTCCTATCAGTTGAAGCAGTTTCACACTGGCTTCCTTGCTCCCAGTTCAGAGCAGTCTTTGCAATCATTGGCTTGTAGCAGGTGCTGATCTTCCACTGTGTATCAATAGAAATGATGTGGGGGGCTCCCCGGTGGCGCAGCGGTTGAGCACTGGGTTGCAAAGCTGCCCGAAGCCTCCGCGGCACCGGTTCAATCCACCTGGCAGGACCATGGCTACTTAGCAACCTACATAAACAAAAATGGCAGCTTTGCCAACTTGAGAATATACCCACATGGATTGGTGTTGCTGGACCTTCAGAGCTACGAGGGTGACACGCAAGGCAAAGAAGAAGTTGAAAGTCTTTTGAACAGAGTAGAAGAAAGAATGAAAGAACTGAGTCAGGACATTGCTGGCCAAGTGAAGCGATTGCCACCCATAGTTCGTGGAGGGGCTATAGACAGATACTGGCCCACTGCTGAAGGCCGCCTGGTTGAGTATGACATAGACGAAGTGGTATATGATGAAGACTCACCATATCAGAACATCAAAATCCTGCACTCGAAGCAATTTGGGAATATTCTCATCCTTAGTGGGGATGTCAATTTGGCAGAGAGTGATTTGGCGTATACACAGGCCATCATGGGCAGTGGCAAAGAAGATTACACTGGCAAAGACGTTCTGATTCTGGGAGGTGGAGATGGGGGCATATTATGTGAAATAGTCAAACTGAAACCAAAGATGGTCACGATGGTAGAGATTGACCAAATGGTGATTGATGGATGTAAGAAATACATGCGAAAAACGTGTGGTGACGTCTTAGACAATCTTAAAGGAGACTGCTATCAGGTTCTAATAGAAGACTGTATTCCAGTACTGAAGAGGTACGCCAAAGAAGGGAGGGAGTTTGACTATGTGATTAATGATTTGACTGCTGTTCCGATCTCCACATCTCCAGAAGAAGATTCCACATGGGAATTTCTCAGACTGATTCTTGACCTCTCAATGAAAGTACTGAAACAGGATGGGAAATATTTTACACAGGGGAACTGTGTCAATTTGACTGAAGCCCTGTCGCTCTATGAAGAACAGCTCGGACACCTGTATTGTCCTGTGGAATTCTCAAAGGAAACCGTCTGTGTCCCTTCATACTTGGAATTGTGGGTTTTCTACACTGTTTGGAAGAAGGCTAAACCTTGAAGGTCGGCTCGCTCTGATCACGCGTGCTGCAGACGGTCCTCCTGACCTTCACACGCTATACATGACATCGAAACAAGTCAGGCAATTGATTGTGAATTCCTTCCAGTTTTCTTTTTTTAATTATTATTTTTAATTTAAAAAAAGCGAATGGAAAATGTATATTTTGATGAGCTAGGGTGTTATTTTTTGAAAGTCAGCTGAAGGATGATTAGACACCACAGCGAAAGCTGCTAAATGCACTGAAACCCTAGAATGTGATTTTTGTTACTTTTTTTTTTCTGTGTGGGCCTCTTTTTTTTTTTTTTGTTCATTTGTTTGGTAGCCTTTCAATTTGCTTGTTTGGAGGAATGGACATCATTGTTTTTATTCTGGAGGGAAGTTCTTGTTGGTGTTTCTTTTCCCAAAAATTGACTTAAAGATTAAAATTTGGTGCTTACAAGAAAGTTAAAAAAAAAAGAGAATACCAATGAATCAATTAAAATCACAAAAGAAAAAAAAAAATACATGCGGATTCAATCCCCGGCTGCTCCCCGGCCACCAGAGGAGGGTCCCGCATGGCGCGCAGACCTCTCCTGCCGCCCGCTGCTCCCCTCAGCAGTGTACCTTGGTCCTTCTGCCTGCTCTGCTCCCTGCTCTGGTGAATTCTCTCACCCTCCCCCACTCTGACTGTACCCAGTGCCTGGATAAATAAATAAATCTTAAAAAAAAAAAAAATAGAAGTGATGTGGACCATGGAGATGGATAGGATCACCCAGTTGGTCCACCAGCTCAATTAGAATGAACAGTAATATCAGACTTTCTGAAGGTATGGCTATATTTCAGCTGTCATCTGAGTGAAACTCTCCAATGATAAATGTCTTGTATGATTCTTTGGTGTTTACAGAGTGCCTGACATCCTCAGAGTTTTCAGTAGCATCACCTCCAAGTTGTTTCCTTGAGACTTCCTCCCCACCAAAAGGCTCCTTCAAAAATTTGGTCAAATCATATATTTTGTGGTACAGGATCAACCAGGTACTCTTGCTGTGGTTGTGCTTCTGGACCTCTTCCAGGGTGTAGTGTTTGACTGCCTTTGTCCAACTTCTTGGCCATTTTGGAATGCTGCAAGTGTCAGGCCTCCAGAGAGCAATGGGGCCAGCTGGAGCAGAGTGCATGTCTTAGCTTGCCGACCCCTGGTCATTCCCCAGGTACTGGCCCTGAACCCTGGACAGGGTGGCCCAAGCTGTGCAAGGGTGCCATTGCATTTTTCAAAAGATTTATTTATTTATGCATACAAGAACTGGGGTACAGGCCAGAGGTGTGGGGGGGTGGGTGGTGAGAGGATTCACCAGAGACAGACTGGGGAGCAGAACAGGCAGATCTACTGAAATACACTGCTGAGGGGAGCAGTGGGCGAGTCAGGAGAAGTCTGCGCCATGTGGGTAGTTCCCTGGCCGGGGATCGAATTTATGCTGCAGTGGCTGCGAATAGCTTCATAGGTTGCGTCTTAATCCCTTGCACCACCAGGGAGGCCCTGCCAATGCATTTTTAAATGGACGTTTCTCTACCCCTGAAATAATTTCAGGCTTATGCCTCTCATTTCGGTGAGTTTCCCAAGGAAGGCAGCAGCCATTTGACTAAACTCCAGAAAACTAGCAGATATCAGTTCTGCGTAAGTAACATAAAATAGGACAGTCAATACAGACAACACTGATTGGTCATGCTTTGAATCCGGTGGGTAGTAGATATTGGAAGCTCAAGGGACCACCTAAGCAAGGTATTTCAGGTTAATTTTTGTGACCCTCCCCATCTAATACTCATGGGAATGGGATGTTTGTATTCCGGAACCAAAGTCTCCATCTATGGGTCCTGTTACTAACATCTAAAGTCAATGATGTTTTGGGGCTGAAAGAGATTATTACAGGGGTCTTTCCTGTTAGTTTCCTTGTAGGAAAACTACATAGACACAGGGTCGTGTCTGGTTCAATCCAAGATATGACTGTTCATAGTTTCTTGGTTGAACGAAGAGTCAGGAGATACCCTTCCAGTTCTGTCACTACCCAATGCTTCAGTTTTGCATTCAGTGGGCGTTTATTTTACCAAAGATAAAATTGAGCTTCAAATTTTACCAAAGATAAAATTGTATAAATAAAATTTATTTATACAAGCACTGGGTAGTCAGAAGCGCTGGAGGGTGAGAGAATTTACCAGAGCCAGAGCAGGGAGCAGAACAGGCAGACTGACAGTACACTGCTGAGGGGAGCAGTGGGCAGCAGGAGAGGTCTGCGCACCATGTGGGACCCTCGCCCGTGGCCGGGGATTGAACTGGCTCTGCAGAGGCTGCGGGCAGCTTCTCAGCCCAGCGCTCAACTGCTGTACCACTGGGGAGGCCCCACATATCTTTTTTTTAGGGCCCCCAGTATATTAGCAGAGCTGAGACTTAAGCCAGAGGGCTCACAGAGGGTAGTCCTAGGAGTTGTTGGAATTACTGAAAGCTTTGTGAGATGCTATTACGGTTAAAAATCCAGAGAGGGCCCTTCTCTACCGACTCTCTTGTCTGTTACTTTGTAATCCTCACTGTGGAGGGTTTTGGCTATTGTGCTGATTTTTCTCATTCATGCTGTAGTGTGTTTCCTCTTGTTCTTACCCCAGAGGAAAGAGATTTAAACAGCCCCCTGTTTCAGAAACAATAAATAGTGCTCTGGCCAGATTGTTGTGTGTCTGTAAAGAATGGGGCCAATGTACCAGTGAACCTTATCTGATGGCCCAAGCAAAAATCTTTAATACGTCTCTTTCAAAAAGAGAGGAAGAGAGAGATTGAAGGAATGAACCGTATATCAGAATAGTTTAAAAAGATTTTGGAGTCAGCTCCTTGGTTTTATACTCTGTTCTCTACTTACTAGCTTTGTGAACGAGTTATTTTCTATAAACCTTCACTTCATGATCTGTTGAATGGGAATAGTAGTAGCTACTTTTGTATTCGATGGGCTTTTATTTTACCAAAGATAAAATAGAGCTCCAGAGAAGTGAAATGGACCGCATATCTTTTTTAGGGCCACCAGTATATTAGAGGAGAGAATATATAGGAAAATTGCTTCCTCCGGCATAAGTGCTCTGGATTATCACTAGTACTGAAAACAGCTGCAGTTTCTAGTTTGTGACCCAAGCGTTGGCTAGAGGGTAAGTTAGACTGACCAAGCGAGTTTCATCTTAACCATCACAGAGTCTGTCTTTGTTGTGGGTTGGTTGATTATTCATTGTAATGGTCACAGCCAACTTATGCTGAATTACTAAGTGTCCTGAATAACAAGGAACTTTGCAGCTCCTCTACACTCTTATTCATCTCAGTCCTCACCTTTCTGAGGTTCTCTCTAACTGACTGCTGGCGCTGGCATACCCTGTTCTTTTGGGCAGTGGTCTGACATGGAATTTTAATGGAGCAGGGCTGACTGGTCCAGGGCCTGCCTCAGGCCCTTTATCAGTGTGTTCCTGACTCTTGCTGCTCTTCAGCCAGACACGAAACAGTTAGCTCATTAAGGAACTTTGACCTCTGCCACGGCCTTCATCTGATTTGTATGCCCATTTTCTAGTCCTTGTGCTAGGTCAGGGAGGCACAGTCAGATACAGTAACCTGGATTTTGTGCTCAAGTTGACACTCTTTCCCTTTGAGATTTACAATTGGTTCAGTGTAGCAATGAGAATGGGCGTGGGGAAAAAACCCTGGAAGCTACTACCTTCCATTCTGTTAATCTTAAAGTGAGTCAAAAAAGAAAGCTTTCGGGGGGGGGGGTAACTTGAACACTGTAACTGTTGCCTATGCTTTGAGTGAAACAAATAGGACAAAACCCCTTTATTTTGAGGGGAGATTGGTGTGAATTGGTTATAAAAGAATTTAACATTTTATTTTATTTATGCATACAAGAACTGGGGTGTAGGCCAGAGCTGCGGGGGGTGAGAGAATTCACCAGAGACAGGGGAGAGCAGAACAGGAGGATCTACAGAAATATACTCCTGAGGGGAACAGTGGGTGAGACAGGAGATAACTGCTGCGCCATGTGGGTCACCTTCCTGGCTGGGGATCTAACTCATGCCACAGTGGCTGGCGATAGCTTGATAGCACTGAGACTTGAACCCCTGCACCACCAGGGAGGCTCAAAAATTTAACATTTTAAGAGAAATGCCATTGTCTTAAATTTTGGGGGCAAGCATCTGCAATATCTTTTGTGCCCAGTTTTATGGCTCCCAGTTTCTTGTAGTTGACTCCTGAATTATAACTGGTTCCACTTCCTATCTTCTTCACCTCTCTCCATGACATTATGTACCACTGCCTCTTGGGGGTCTTCCTAAATACAGTGCTGATAAGAGAACATTCATACTTAGAACCCCTCTGAGGCACCCACTGACTGCTGGTGTTCAAGCCTGGGATGGTATCTCCCTGTCCCACCACTTTAATTAATATCCTCTATCATTACCCACATGTGCCTTTTGCTCTTGATAAAACTGGTCCATGTGGTCCCCTACACATGTTTGTGTCTCTGCCAATTCTTTTGCCCAGTACACCTCCATAGTTTCCTACCTGATGCTGCAGAGCTGCCTTCTTCAGAAAGCCTTGCCTGATACATCCTCATTTGGTCCCCATAGCAACACTTTGATTATAGATTTTAGCATACTTTATCCTGGTTAGTTGCTTTGCCTCTATAAGAGCTTCTCAAAGACATGGATTGTATTTTCTGTCTCCTACATAATGCTGTATGTAACTTGGATTCATTGACTGAGTATGGGAAAGTCTGAGGAACAGCAACAATCTTGTTCAAATCTCAATTCTTCCCTGAAGCATTCTTCGATTCCCAGCATGTTCATGAGTTTGGCATGTTCAATTCCTAAAGTCCTGTGTATGTGTAATACAGTCTGATTCTCTGGAGGAAGTCTTGCCAGCAGGGTTAGAAATTCCTCTAGGGTGGATTTTACACTCCTCAATACTCTGTGTACCCAGCCCCCAGCACAGTTACTGGCACGTAGATGATACTTAATAAATGCTTGTGAATTCAGGAGTCTTGCTGTTAGTCAATTGATGTGCCTACCAGTTCATCAGTCTCCTCTGTCAGTCATTGGCCAGGGATTTCCAACTCAGATATTTTCAGGGTCAGGTAGAGAACAGTCCGTGTAAAGTAACACAATGGTGAGCCAAACTGCATGGGGGCACTCACCCTATCATTATCATAGTTAGATGTGGCTCTAGTGGCCTCATCATTTTATACTACATGAGAAGCCAGAAATCCAGGCTTTATGTGACCGTCTTAGAAACTATCAAAGCACATCTGTGGTCCAGATTTGCCCTATAGGCTATCCATTTGTGATCTTTGAGCTTAAGCTGGAGTTTAGGTGAGAGGGAGCTCTGGTTGAGAGTGTCCTCTATGGTCTGAGCTTCATCTCGCCTGTTCTGTCCCTAGAAGGCTAGTTACCTGGACTTCTGTGATTTTTTTTCCTTTTTGCACAGATTCCACTGAGGCAGGTTTGAT